ATGTCCGTTGTTATTCACTCTTGCTCACGCTACGTCAGTCATGGGTCCCTTTGCGGCTCTTCCGGTTTGGCAGGAGGTGAGTTTCGTCTACGTGCAATACCGTAGCGTTGGGTGTTCTGTGATGAGAGACGTGAGTTCGATGTCCGATGATCCCCGTTCAGAAACTCGTGTTGAGGTTCAGCACAATAACGTTTGTTTGTTGTTTGGTATTCAGTATACAGCAGGATTGTTTACGGGGTTTTTTTTTTTATTATTATTTCTTATTACATTTTCGATATTTGTGCCGAACGTATTGCCGATAATTATGGTGTTGGTATAACGCCTGGCGAACGTCTTGGAGAGGTGACAGTCCAGTATTGGGAAATTTTAAGGAAAGTTTGCTCTGGCTCTGCTTTTGTTATGATTCTATCGCTTTCTGTTTATGATTCGTTCAGTCACAAAAAAAAAGAAAGAAAGAAAGAAAAAGTAAACATCATGCCCATGGGAGATTTTACTTTTTTCTTTCTTTCTTTCTTCTTTCTTTCTTTCTTTCTTTCTTTCTTTTGACTGAATGAACTTTATAATCAATATCATACTCAAAGAATTTACGACTACAAATCTTCAACCTCTAATGGAGATTTGCATAGGATAATGGCTACCGATTCAGTTTCATTGCGGTGTTCGGAAGATGGATTGTCATATAGTTCGAATATCGGCGGGATGTCTGCTATCTTTAAATGAATACCCTTATTACCATTCATTGGGAAACCAAGACACAATGATTTTCTTATATAACTATGTATGCAATAACTCTCTTGATCTATAAACATTTGATTACTATTTTATCACTACACACACACACATATATATACATACATATGTTCGTATGTGTGTGTGTGCATATATATATATATATAATATATATATATATATATATATATATATATATATATTATATATATATATATATATATATATATATATATAACACACACATATATAAACACACACTCACACATATATATACACAGACACACATACACACACACACACGCACATATATATGTATATATATGCATATATATATATATATATATATATATATATATATATATATAATATATATATAATATATATATATATATATATATATATATATATATATATATATATATACCATTATGATTTGCTAAGGTTTTGGGATTCATACCCACTATAGTTACCAGTATTTTCCAGAAACTTATAACATATTGAAAATAATTACGCCTGTGCACTATATAATTTCATCTTCTCGCATATATTCCATTTCAAGGGTAAGACGTGTACAATTATCTTTCCCTGTCGCTCCATAGAACGTTCCACTCACCCAGCTTCGACTGCAGGTATAAAAAGTACCGTCACAGAGGCTGCTTTACCATATGCTTTGAATTCTCAAGATGTTCGCAAAGGTGAGTTGCTGAGAACTTTTTACTGGAAGATGAACGAAATCCTATTTGATGTAAATCTCATTGAGGATTGTAGATATACTTTGATATTAAGGATTACGATCATTACTTTGTAGATCGTCATCGTGTTCCTTCTCGTGGCTCTCGCTGCAGCTTCTCCGTCTGAACCTGTTTACGGTTATACCCACGAGCTCACATACGAGGTTAGATTTAAGATCCATTTTTTGTATAATGATAATATTTTCCCGTATATTACTGGTATACTCTTTGACATATTTTCCAGTGATAAAAATAAAATTCACCATTTTCAACAGGAACCTGCCAGATACGACTTCAACTATGCAGTAAAAGACGACTACTCCGGCAACGATTTCGGCCACCAGGAAGCTCGCGACGACTACATCACCCAGGGTTCCTATTTCGTCCTGCTTCCCGACGGTCGTCTGCAGAGGGTCACCTACACTGTCAACGGCGACTCTGGCTACGTAGTTGAGGTCAGCTATGAGGGTGAGGCCCAGTATCCTGAGTACAAGCCTAGCCCTGTCTACGAACCTGCTCTTGCCTACAAGCCTTCTCCTCTCTACAAACCTGCCCCTGCCTACAAGCCTGAACCTGTCTACGAACCTGCACCTGCTTACAAACCTGCTTCTGTCTACGAACCGGCATCTGCCTTTAAGCCTGCACCTGTCTACACGCCTTCTCCTGACTACGTACCTGTTCCTTCCTACAAGTCAAACCCGGTCTACGTTTAATTTCTATTTTACGTCAGTGACTATCTATTCTTATCAATAAATGTAATACAATATCATCCGCATGTCCTCTAGAGCCTCTTGCATGTATAAAATTGGTGCCATGAAGAATGAGTGTAACATCTTTGCTGCTTTCCTTTCATTCTCACTCTCTTTCTATCTTATTCTCACCTTCGCTGTCTTAGATCTAATGGTCTCTAATTGGCAGCATTATTCCTATGAAATTTAGCTCTAGCTCCGACTGTCATATTCCATTAAACTACCTTCCATTCTCTTCATGTCTTCACCATTATTTTACAGTATGTAAAGTGTACTGATCTCTATTTC